GTTTCGGATTCAGTGATTATTTATTGAACCCACACTTTTACACATTTACACATGTACAAGTACGATTATTATCCCCTAATTCACTGTTGTAATACGTCTTGCACCGCTAATCTCGGTGAAGACTTCTATTCCCTTCCTCTGGTGTGAGCTGGCTTGTGCTCTTCTCGCCACTATCCTAAGAACTGCCTGGTCTCAAGGTCAAAGTCACATTGCGACTGACGGTTAGGGCTCATGAGAAGATGTTTCTTCTTATATGAAAGTTACTGTCCTGTCCATTTGGGGCGCCCTCTCTGACGAGAGGTCGGGTCTGTCATTCGTCAGTCATAGCCTGTATTAGTAAGACCATTGTCAGTATTTACATGTATTTACAAATTTAATCTTAATTTCTAATTCTATGTACAATATATACAAGGCCTCTGTCAGTCCAGGCTCAGTACAGCAGACTAAGCCCTATTTCTATAAGTATTTGCTACCACAGCAGTCTAGTCACTTGAACGGGCGTATTCCTGACCGCCGCCAAGTTAAGCCTCTTATACTTTCTATGTCAGGCTTCTCCTTGTCCAGTATTGCGAACATTTTCATTGTCATGATTTTGTATGACTTCCGCTTGTTCCCTGCATAATTTTGTTATATAATCGCGAACCGGTGTGTGCCTTGGAAAATTGCCAGTGGTGCGGAGAACCTTGTTTTGCAGGCGTTGCAATCTCACTAGATGAGTGTCTGCCGCGAATTCCCAGGCGGGACTAGCATAAGTCATTACAGATCTAATGAGAGCTTTGTGGAGGATCAGCTTATTGTTAGCGCTTAATCGCTCACTTTTGAATAGGGGTAAAATTTTATAAATGTTATGAAGGCCTTTGCTTCGATCATTTGTATGTGTAACCTCCATGTAACCCTCCTATCAAAGATTACTCTGAGATATTTTACACAATTTACAAATATCTTCCATTCAAAGTAAGACGAGACATAGGCGGCCGACGACAGCGAGAGAAGTAGATCCCCTGAGTCTTATGTTCATTATTTTTTATATTCCTGCGCTCACACCAGGTCTCCATTGAGCTGAGACCGCGCTGCAGTTTTCTAACCACAGAACGCTCTTTGCGATCTATCGCATACAGACAGGTGTCATCTGCAAAGAGGGCTAGTTGAAAGCCATCTGTTTAGGGGGCATCATTTATGTACATACTGATAAGAGTAGGGGACAGGACCGAACTTGTGGCACCCCTGCTTGCATTTCCCTTGGCTTAGATATTTCTCCTTCCACCGAAACACTGAATTTTCTTTGTAAAAGAAATGATGCAGTATGCTTGATTAAGCTGGTCTAAAATTCCAGGTTTGACAACTTATATAGCAAGCCCGAGTGCCATGTAGTATCAAAGGCTTTTTCGATGTCCAAGAACGCCGCAGCCATAGACATTTTATTATTGAAATTAAGGGCCACGTGGTCTGTTAGCCTCATACATTGCAGTGTCTTGCTGTGACGTTCACGGAAACCAAGCTGGCCTGCGTTAAGCAGACCTCTTTCTTCAATGTGCTTTTGGAATATTTTTCAGAATACTTTCAGGGATAGTTTTCCTGTTGTGGATAGGAGGCTAATCGGACGTAAATTTTGAGCAAATTTTGGGTCCTTACCGGATTTCGGTAAGGTTATGAGTTTTGCTTCCTTCCAAGGACTTGGAAAATGGGACAGCCTAAGGCAATGATTGAATAAATGGGCTGTTGCTACGCAATGAACCTTCTGTTGTCATGCAACGTCTCCAAGGAAACGCCTTTGTTTTCTCCAGGCAACGGCCCCACTGTTGTTGTTTTACCATGGAAATATCTACTCCAAACACGTTACAATATTATTATTTGTGTATATGAATGTTATGCTTACTACAACGAATGAAATTAGAAATATGTATAATTCCTTCAGGTCCAGAAGTTTTGAGGTGCGGTGAAATGTCATCTAAACCATATTTGTTTTATGATATTGTCACGTGTTGGGTGTATGTCACGAAAGAAAGAAATAATAACTTCACGCCATATTGAATGTAGCGAATTTTATTCCACACTCTTACATTTACACAATGCACAATTTCCCAACTACTGCCATCTGCAGTATCACAAGTACTTCTCCTGTAGTCACTGCCATGTACTCGACAAAACCCGACTCGGCGACTGCTAGATTGAAACAGATTGGTTAATCGTTACTCACTTTTCGTAACTGGCTCAATCCTCACTACTCCTGAATCAAAGTCAAAGTCACATTGCGACTGACGGTCAGTCAGTCTGTCTGCCTTGGTGTCGAGCCCCGACTGGGGCTTATGGCCAGGTTTGTTTTTTCTTTATATGAAAGTTACTGTCCTGTCCTGTCCTGGCAAGAGGTCTGGTCTGCCTTTTGTCAGTCTAGTAAATCCATTGTCAGTATTTACGTATATTTACAAATTTAATCTTAATGTTGTACATAACCTTCATCCTACATGGTGTACATAATTTCTGACCAGGTGTAATTAAATCAGAGTCTCGTGTTGACACATTCATTGAACAGATTTCACTGTTAACAGATCTCAGTCTGAATCTTTTTAACTATTTTTGTATGGATTTTGAATGGATTACAACAAGTTTGTTGGAGCAGATAATATTTTTTCTTGGTAAATGGAGATAGGCACTTTCCTCTACTTCCATCTTAGGTCCACATCCTATGTACAGCTATACATTGTTTTCATTTTGTAAGTCATCTTAACTAAAGACCAGCTTTTCTTGTGCATATTTTTAAATTATGACCTGTATTTACTTAAAATAATTCTCCATGTGCTTAACTAATTAAGTGCTATGTCATGAAACCATATGGGGAGTAGATGTATAGAGCCACGTACCCTTGACAGTGCCACTTATTGGAGGTGAGTGGCCAGCTTCATGCTCCAGTTGCTTTACCCTCTGGGATAGAGTCCCTGGTACCCATTGGATAGGAGGCTGGGTGGGCCACAGAACGGGTCTGACTACATGGAGAGGAGAAAAATCGTGCCCCTACCAGGACTCAAACGCCAACCCCTTGGCTGTCCATCCTGTAACCAGTTGCTATACTGACTGCACTATCCCAGCTGTCAGTCTGTATTTAGTACTCATCTGAAAGTACAAGTCTCATTAGGAGCAGGCATCTACACAGTAAAATTGAAAGAAACAATGCTGCTGGTAGAGTTATTTTCTGCTGACTCAGTTCTGTATACTTAATGGCATGTTATGCCTGGTAGTGTTGCCGGATCTTTTCTTACCTGCCACTGTTGCCAGGACTACAAAAGGAGGAAGAGCAGGTTCTTGCTTCATGATTTTAAAATTCTTTTTCTTGGCAGTGTAGCAGAATTCTACTCTTAATTATTTCCCCAACCTTCCCAGTTGATTAAACAATTGTTTATGCTAGGTAAACTGTCAGCTTTCAAAATGCAGTCCCACGGGTCTTTTTAATGTTTTAAAAAAGTAGCTTGTATGAAGATTGTAACTCCCAAATTGTTGCATATGTGGGTAACTTTTCATCAGCAAATTCCTTAAGAGAAACTGCTGCTAGTCTTCAGAATTTATATTTCTTACTTTCCAGTAAAGGAAATATTTATGTATTTGTGACAAATTACCTGCATTGTAAAAACAGCCTGATTTCAGTAATTAATGTCTCCGGATGTACGCATATTAATTAACAACAACAAATTAGAACTTTGTGAAAACTTTTACTTTATGGATGTCTAGTAGTTAAATAAAAATCATGAAAATTGGTTATGGCGAGGTTGAGGCTGCATTCAGTTTTGTTCCATGTCCAAATGGGTAAGATGAATGGCCAGTCAGTATGAAACTGCTTCCAGAACTGTGTCTAAACATCATGTGTGTGTGTGTGTGTGTGTGCGCACGCGCGCGCTGTGTTATACTGTGCGACAGGTGTTTCAAAGAAGCATGATGCCTTCGTCTTATATTTCAGGGAAATGTTGATTTGAATTGTCCATATTCATGAGTCACTGGAGGTTCTCATATCTATCAGGAAAAGAGTAACTAATTTAATTTTTGTATGTATTCCAGGAAATTTCTAACTATATATTTTGTGTTCTTTTCAGGATGATGAATATGTTGTCTTCCCTGATATCAAACCAGCTGCCCGACATCACTATTTGATTGTCACACGTAAACATATTCGAAATGCAAAACAGTTAACTGTGGAGCATAAATCTCTTGGTAAGCGAAATTAGATCACAGTTGCAACAGTAATTGAAAGCCAGGCATCAGTGTAGGATACCAGGTCTCAGGTGCAACAGCATCAGGTTGCTCAAAACCCCAGTCCCAGTCCTCCATTCCCTACATTGTGTACCATGTTTCCCTTGTTTAGCTCACTCTTCTACCTTCAAGATGGAAGCAGCATGATCCTCCGAAAAACATATGGTATTGTGTCACAAAAGAGTGTAATCTTAACTTATTTTATTAATAATACATGACAGAAGTGTCCAGATGTAACATGTTATAAGTTTGGAGGTTCCTTTTCTGTGTGCATCCTAAAACAGTCAGTGCCTACATTTTTTGCATATTGAATGAGTTGGCAACATTGTAACATTATTCTATGTCTATATTCTAGTTATTTTCATGGTAGAAGATAGTTTTAGATTCAGTATTTGTTTTGGATTTGGTTATTGCTGACCACTTTGTCAGTAACTGAGAGCCAGTAAAACAAAGTAACGTATTGTTGTGCCCATCTTATTAGATATTAAGTATGATTTTTGTAAGATTGGATGCTTAGCTTAAAATGCCAGACGGCTGGCCAGAAGGTGAGGAGACAGAGCCGCGGCTGACTCTGCGCATTCTTTGTCACTCAATTGAATTGTATTTAGAAAAGACTGTTTACGCATCAGTGGAAAGACCCAGTCAGGTTTCACTTCACGCGCCAATGAATGTCCAGCAAGTTGCCAACCTAAGGGATTTCGCGCAAGCAGCCTTCGCAATTTGGGAAAAAAGTTGAATTTTGGAACTGGGAAAAAAAGGCCGTTTCAGGCACTCTGTTTCTAGCAGTTGTGAGAAACGGACGGACTAGAGCAAAGTGTGCCTGTGGAAAACCTTGGGATGGCGCCAGTGTTCGTCATGTGCATCATGTTCAGCGTGAGTGAGTACTTGCCCGTGGTTGGGTCACTGATTGCTTGTTAGAAATTCTGGTTCAGTGGTGTTTTGAGAAAGAAATACAAAGTGTTGGTTTGTGTAATTTAGGGTTAGTATATTATGGGTAGTTAAATTGTAGGAAGTGTAAAACGGGTATAGTCGAAGGTTGTGTATGAGTTGATAGGTTGTTTGTTGTACTAGTGGTTTGTTTTATTATATATTACTTTTGTTGTTGTTTTGAGAACTCGAGTTTTTGTGGGCCCTCTTATGCAAGGATGTTTTCCACCACACAGGTTAAAAGATATCCACGGATGTCCGATAGGGGGTGAGTACAGTCACTGACCCCTATCAGGGCACAACAGTATTGTTACATGTGGGGTGTGTCATGCGACAGTTTCACGCCATCTTGTATCTAGCGAATTTATTGAACTCTCACCCTCACAATTATACAATTTACAGTTTCACCACTACTGCCATCTGCAGTATCACAATTACTTCTCCTGTAGTCATTTCCGTTCACTCGATACAACAATGGACTTCAACTCACTCCGGCGAATGCTAGACTGCAACTGACTGGTTACTCCAGTAATCCTCTCATTATGTAGCTTCCACACTGACAACCCAGAAAACAGTTACGTGTTGCTACCACAGTTGCGTAAATGCTGTGTTTACAGGCGTTGCTGGGGAACGCTGCCGAGAGTTGTTTATTGCTGCATAGTAACTGCAGTGTCTCCCGTTACGTCACTGTGGGAAGTGCTTTTACGTCACCACAGGGGGAGGGGGACAGAGTGTTGACTGGCCTGTTACCGTAGCAGCGGCAGTTGTTCCACTGGTGTTACATCACTGTTGGAGGGGGGTTGTCCTGCATAGCTCAAATATGTCACAGTATTTTCACTGGAGAATATGCCACTCTTTGTGGGCTGTGTCATCATGATGTTCCTATCCCCCCACTTTCCAGTCAAAAAGCAATTGTCAGATTGTCAGAGATTGCTGTGGTGTTTGCATTGGCACTGCAAGACCCTCACATGTGCAGAAGAGTGCAGTTTATAGAAACAGGCTGTAATCCAGATGTAGACTACAACAGTTTGCATTCATTCTCTTTATCTCTAAAAGTGAATAGTTTATTTTAAAATATTAATGAGTTAGCTATTATGGTCATTTCATGCAACAGTGCATGAACAAATTTCATATCCAGTATAATATTGTGTATACAGTGTTTCCTCTCTTTTTCAGTTGAGAAACTTGTTCAAATAGCAAAGCAGGTCCTGAATGAAAATGGTGCTGATTTATCTGATGTAAGGTAAGATATAAAATTAATTTTAACCCACTCCATGAATAACATAATAGGTCAGAATAAAATTAAATGTTATAAGAAGTGAAAAAAATGTTGGAAGGAGGACATTTACATTAACTCATGCACATAAAATTGATATGGGTGAAACAACAAAGGGTTTTGTCTTAGTAAGGTGATGTTATAGCTGTACCAGTGGATTATGGCCCACATGTTATGCCAGAAAAGGGGCATTGGCAGATAATACTAATGGCAGCAAGCAGTCTGTTACATGCCTTTCAGCTACACCTATAACCCACCCAATTGGTGGTTGCACAGGATGACTCAGTATGTGTGATTGATGAATCAAATGCTAAATATAACACAGAATCGTAAAAACTTACGTGTCTTTATGCCGCAACAAAAGTAATTTCACATTCTGTCTGGATGTTCTTTATTAAATCTGCAGCCAAAAGAACAAGAAATTGACAGAAATGTTACATTCTGTATATTGTCACAGGGATTGGAATTATTATTGAATTTATTAGATACTTGTTATTCATAATTAAATTATTTACAAAATTTTCACTTTTGTACACAGTATACAAATAACTACAGCTAACGCCAAGTCGTCTTAGTTTGCCGTGTCTTCATGTGTTTATTGCTTCTAACAGTGGGGATCCCGTTTACTGCTTCCATGCTCAACAGATGCTGTCTCTGTTGGTTGGCAACTAACTGCTAACCATTGACAGTGGTCCTGTTGGTCAGTCAGGTAAATTGCTGCTAGCCCTCACCAGCACAGTCAAGCTTGGTTTCATGTTCCATCAGGACCCATAACCAATGTTGTTCTTTCTCAACTTCTACGCATTTTGAACTGGGGCTTCCTCTTTGAGAAGAGGAGGGGTCTGACTGCTGCTGGTCTCTTGACTGACCCTGTCTGTCAGTCAATTGATCTGTCATTTGGGTAATTTGCTGCTGACCTACAAAAGCACAGTCATTCTTCTTTTGAGTCTTGTAGGACTCCTAACCATATTTCTCTCTCTCACAACTGTGAGTCATGCAAATCCTGAATTTGTCAATCAGGTAAATTTCCAGCACAGTTAGTCTTGGTTTTTGGTCCCATCAGAACCCATTGCCATATTTTTGCTTTTTCCAAGACTTCTGCATCTTTTGAAATGAGTTTTTTTTTT